GTGTGTGTGTGTGTGTGTGTGTGTGTGTGTGTGTGTGTGTGTGTGCGACAACAAAAGTCAAAGCTAATCCCATCTGAGTGGCGCTGCGACGGCCCGTCTGAGGCGCGACAAAGGGCTCGTTAGCATTCCCAGCAACCGTCTGAGGTCACATAACAAACGAGCTCCTGGAGCCACGCGATACCCACGTCATGGATGTTGAACCCTCTCAACGAAAAAGTGGGTGTGTTGTAACAACTGTGCCGTTTCTGATACAGCGTGAAATTGGTTTCATTCTCACCTAAAAAAAAGATTTGAATGTGTAATTTGTCCGGTTTCCTACTTATCCCTTGTACTGTTTTAGTGTGGAGTCCCTCAAGGTTCCGTCTTTGACCCAGTTCTGTTTTCAGTTGCATGCTTCCCATGGGAGAAGTGTCCCCCGCAGGCAGACAAAAATGTGGTTGGTTTCAGCAACACCCACATCAGCACGAATGTGACAAAACGTTTGTGTTCAACCCTTTCAGCAGCACATGTGGGTGTTAAAACATCCACATTTTTGTGACAAAAAGTTGGTTTTGAAACCTTTTAACAGGAAAAGTGTCTCCCAATGTATTTGGGTATTGAAACCTTTCACTGGGAAACGTTTTCCTCTTAAGTGTGGGAAAAATGTGGGTGCACCTACAATCCTCACATCTGTGATGAAAAGTATGGGCGTTCATACCTTACACCATGTAAAATGTGTGTACATCTACTTTGCCTGTGCGTACATATATTAAAACTAATAAAACCTAAACTAAAATGAAAAAAATATACGAACTACGAATATAACCTAACAAACTCTATAAAAAATAATTTAACAGAATTTAAAAAAGAAAAAATCAAAATGCAATAAAAACTAACAATGACTACAAATCATTCTGACCTTCTCTTCTAAAAACTATCCTCACCTTCGACTGGGAAAAATGTGTTTTTTGAAACACCCACATTGGTGCACCCCTGCTGACGATGTCATCGTTGTCATTCAGATAAAGACAAAAAAGTCTCCAGTGAGCCATCAGAGGGCGCCGTGAGAGAAGAGACATCGGCGTCGGGCGAGGTGAAGAAGAAGGAGTCGTCCAAGGAGAAGAAGGACACCAGGAAGGAGTCCGGCAAGGAGGCTAAGGAGGAGGCCAAGGAAGCTAAGAAGGAGTCGTCGTCGTCTTCCAAGGAGAAGAAGGAGCGAGACAAGGAGGCAGGGGATAGGAAAGTTTCCAAAAAGGCGTCTGTGGGCAAAGTCAAAGAAAAGAAGAAGAATCCTGAGGCTGGAGAGGCTTGAGCACGAGGTTCCAACTCTGATCGCCTCGGTGAGGTAGGCACGCTAACCACTAGCCGCCCCGCGTGCTGCTCATTGAAAACTGAATACATTCACCATTGATGGGCAGTTTAAATGGTGGATGGGGGCACAATATTTCATCAGCACCACTGGGGGGCCACATAGGACCAAGCACTTCTTAACCAGGTTTTGGACAAAAATGTTAAATATGGACAAAATACATGCATATGTCTGTTTTTTTTTTTTTCATCAAACCAAAGCACATCGTAGTATGTCATTTCATTTTTCATGATACATTTCTCAAAGCATGTATAAAGAGACCCAGACGTGAACAACAAAGGGTTTGAACAAACCAAATTTGAACTGTGATTTTATTTTCCCAGTGAGAAGGCCTCTCGTGCATCAGAAATTACATTCAAGGACGGAACAAAACTGGTTAAATATGGACAAAATACATGCATATGTCTGTTTGGGTTTTTTTTTTTTCATCAAACCAAAGCACATCGTAGTATGTCATTTCATTTTTTATGATAAATTTCTCAAAGCATGTATAAGAGACCCAGACGTCAACAACGAAGGGTTTGAACAAACCAAATTTGAACCATATACTGTGATTTTATTTTCCCAGTGAGAAGGCCTCTTGTGCATCAGAAATTACATTCAAGGACGGCACAAAACTACTGAACAGCAAACCAACGTTAAGTTGCAAGAAGTCATCTGGGGTATGTTCTCACAAAAATCAACTCACTCAAAACTTTCATGTTATTCAACTGCTAGATTTGTCCTGCATGTCATTCCCAAATCTACAAAAAAGAAAAATGACACAGATAAATCGAAAATTTTAATCAGAGATTGTTTTATGTTTCCCCAAATGTATTTTTGACGTTGATTTAAAAAAATGTCCTGACTGTTTTTTCCTAGCACATTAGGTTTTTGAGATACTCACTGTATTTGCATTTTTGTTTTTTAAGTTTAGCCCATAAAAGCCTGCGCAATACACATTTTACCATGCGTTGTCATTTATAGCTGACGTTTCAAAAAAAAAGAAAAACATCTACAAAACTATCTACAAAAGCTTACTTGCATCTCTAATTTTAAAATGCAGTCAACATTTGTTGACCCGTACTGTATTGGGGAGTATGAGACACGATGCAAGTACGACTGGGCCATGTCTGCCATCTAGTGGTAAATGGGGATATTACAACTTAAAATTATACAGTGGAACACCACTATCGTGGGGGATAGAGACTGCAAATAGAGAAAATTGTCATGTTTGTCATTCATGGATATGTATTTGAGTTTGTTTTGGGGTTTTTTGTTTTTTGTTTGGGGGGGCAAAAAAATTATTAAGCAACAAATGCTGATTAACCTACAATATACATTTTAAATAAAAGACACTCATTAGTCTTTTTCACAGAGATTCTCTTCCACTGGCAAAACCTTCTATCAACAAAAAAAAAACTGTCAGTGTTGAAAAACTTGATTTGAATGATGTGAGCTCAGGTAAACATTTACTTTCCAGTGATACGAGTTAATAATACTTCGTAACCATGGCAACATGGTCACGTTTGTCAGCTAGCATCTTAGCATTCATGTTGTCTGCATGGTTAGCGCCGACGTGTAGGAGAGAAAAGTCAATGAAAGCCCAAAATAAAAATGCTTGTCAGGATTTTGAAGTGAAATGTTTTGTGCTGAATTTGTCAACTGTGACACTTTCCGGTCTTATTTTTTGACCTCTCAGTGTCCAAAGTTTTTCTTTTTCTTTTAGAAACTTATTTTTGATGGCTTTTTTCTTGTTGCTCTTGCTCTCGTTTACTATAAATCCTGTGTGATTGCATTTATTTATTCCGGGGCTTTTTATCTGTGTGTTTTTGTTTTTGTTTTTCTTTCAAATAAATGAATGTTTTCCTCTTCTTTTCATTGCTCTTTTCATTGGATCTTTTTCACTTTTTATGTTGCAATGTTTCGTTGCCTTAATTTGTCTTTTTTCTCTTGCCTTTAATTTTTACTTTTTCTTTCAAATATTCAAATATTTCCTTCTGTATTTAATTCATTGTTTTTGTTTGTTTTCTTCCTCAGGTCATTACGGCTATTATTATGTATCTGTTTTTTTTTCTCACCCCCTTTTTCCAATTTGAAAACGTGTTTGTTGGTCCACGCAGTACCAAAATCGTCCTCCAGGGGAATTTGACTGCGGAAATTGTATGTCATTGTGTTGGAGATGCAGGTAGAAGTCCAGAGAGAGACAAGCTCCTGTGGTTGAGACAGCTGACCCCCAACCCCTCCACCACAAAATCCATCCACCGCCCCCTCACCCAGTCTCTCTCTCTCACACACATACACACACACACACACACACACACACACACACACACACACACAGGGTCTTTGAGGGCCAGACCTGTCGGCTGCAGAAGGCTTTAACCTCGGGGCCGGCGCGGGGGGGCTCCGACCGGCCCCCCCTGTCTGTCCGCCGGCAGGAAACATCGTCTCTGGTCACTTTCTCCTTTTCCTTTTCTTCTTCTGTTTGTGAGAGGTTTCATCTGCTAGCCGTTAGCTACGCTCTGTTAGCATTTCACTCTTATCTGGCGCTTATCTGCTCACAGTGGCAGGACATTTGGGAGACGACTGTAAGGTTTGGGGTTGATTCCTAGTGGCCACCCTGCCCCACCACCACCGTCAGCCAGCCCTCTTAAAACCGCCTCACCACAAAGACTCCCCCCCCCCCCCGCACCGCTGTCAAGCCAAAAAGTGACGAGCCAGGTCCCTCATGCTGAAGTTGCTTTGGATGTGCCCCAGAGCTCAACTTTGTAACTTTAGACATTATTTCCCATGGTCTAAACACACTTCGCTCCTCCAAAAGTTCTTAATTGTAGTTAAAACGTCATATCAAAAAAGCTTGGCACTTGAGCAATCACTCATTAACGTGTGTCCAATTCAGACTCAGTTTGATTAATTTCCTAGAAGCATTTTTTTTTGAAATGGAGCAATTATGATACTGTCATGCCCTCACGTGGGGGCAAGGGGAGCCGCCATTGATGATTATCAATATGCATTACACACACATGTAATGCATATGCAGCCAAATGGGACAAACCGCCAAACATGCAAAATGCAAATTGAGAACAATCAAGCAGATTTAAAAGTCAAGTGAAAAAAATAACAACAAAAAAACATGATTTTAAAAATACTTTGAAAGCCTGCATTTAAAAGCATTGTTATTTTATGAGTATGTTTGGCATATTTATTTCTTCATCTTATTCACTCTGACAATAAAGGGTCCCAGCAAATCGGCGGACTGTATTTTACAAAAGTACAGTGGGGGAAAAATGCTGCTAAGGGAAATTGGGAGGGGGGGGGCATATTATACACGGATGCTCGGTTTTGTTTTATTTTTTTGTGATCAATGTGGAGATGGATTCGGCTGCTATGCAGTGCAGGGGGGGTGGGGGGGGGGGTCTGTCGAGTCGAGCGGGATGCGGCACTGCTGACCACCCCAACACCTTTAAACAACATTCACCTTGTAACCCTGAATGGAAAACTGTTATGTTGCAGCTTATCAAATTAACTTCAAAACAAATCATATATCATCGCTTGCTTTGATTGGCTTTCGTGTGTGTCAGAGATGAAAACTGAAGAATTTGAAAGCGGCCCTCGCATCCTTCCATTTTGCGATATGTGGCCCTCCAATGACAAAAGTGCGGAGCCCCCAACACACACACACACACACACACACACACACACACACACACACACACACACACACACGCACGCACACACACGCCCTGCCTTCTACAGTAGCAACAAAACAGCCACTATTAGTTTTGCAGTCTCCAAGTGGGTCTACTCGTGAGCTGCTGGACTTGCAGTATCAAGAATGTGGAATAAAAGCTGAAGCTGCTCTCCATCGGTGCCGACTGCCTCTGCTGGGCTCCGCACGGCAGCATGTAGTCCGAGAGGAAGAGGAGGAGGAGGAGGAGGAAGAAGGAGAAGAGGAGGAGGAGGAAAAGCGTGTGTTCGAGTGAGACAGGAGAGAGGGAGTGTGTGTGCAGTCCTCCGAAGCGCGCAGTCGGCAGTCAGCATCCATGAACGCAACACTTTGACGTTTCCCCCTGGAACGTCTCGAGTATTTTTTGGCTCCGGACGGATTCTACCAAGTGCTCACATCTTAACAGGTTTCAAGTGGCTTTGACAACGCGTCATGCGCATGCAGCCCGGCTCCAAAGCTTCTGCACTTACCTCCCCGTGGACACTTTTTTTTTTACTTCTTATTTTTGGGATTTAAAAAAAAAAGCGCACGTGGACTCGGAAGTTCTGTCGCTTGTTGAAGATGTCGCCCGGCCGCCGCTCCACCTCCACCTGCAGGCTCCTCGCCGGCTCGCTGCTGCCTCTGCTGCCGCTACTTGCGCTGCTGCAGGCGGTGCCGCCCGCCGCCGCGCTCATCACAGGTGAGAGTCCAAATTCGGGTCTCCGTGCGTAAAAGCGCACCGCGCGAGACGCGTCGGGTGCTTCTCGTTCAAATTCGCGAGGTTTACGTGGTGAACTTAGTTCGGGGATGCGAAGATGAAGAAGCTTGTAATTCCGACTTGTTTTAACTTCGGACACTGTGTGCGCATTTTGCTCCCTCCTCCTCCTCCTCGTCCTCGTCGTCGGCGGCGTCGGCGTCATGTGTTTGCCCCGCGGCCGCGCGACCCGAAAGGCGGTTGGAAACGTGATTTTATTTTGCCTTCGTTAAAATTTAATGATTACTCCCACGCTGCACTTAAATAGAAGCAGTACGCGTACGTTGTAAACGATGTCTGTGAACGTATTGATTCAACGCCGACGTCGGCAACGGTCTAGAAAAAAAAAAGGACATTTTCTTCATTATAGGGAGAAATATTCACGCTCCGGATTTAAGTCGAAGTGATTCGAGTCTTTGATAAAGGTAAAAAGATGAAATTAAGTACAGACTTCGTTATTATTTCATAGCAGAAGACTGCACAAGTTCAACTCAATAAAAGTTTAAAAAAAAAATGTGCGGCTCCAGACTTGATCATCACTTCATTAACAACAAGAGGCAGAGGTGGCAAAATGCGTGAGCTGTCGTCTACTGTAGTAGAAGTACAGATACTTTTGTAAATGAAGGCTGTAAATAGCTGGTTCAACTTAAGTAAACGTAGAAAAACAGTAGATGTGCCTATCACTGTTTCATTTTCGCAAGTGGCAAAAGTATCCACACTCTGGATTGAAGTCGTACTGGTACTTGTGTGAAAAAAAACTGTAGAAGTCTCGATTTATCTCCTTTACTTAAGATTTTCAAAATTACAGGGACAGGTTAGATCTTTTTTTTTTCGTTGTTGCAAGAGACAGAGGTGTCAAAAGCACTTACAATGTACTCAAGTAAAAGTGCAGGTACTTGCATGTGTAAAAAGAAAAAAAGCACAAGTACAGACTTAATCATCTTGGCGAAAGTATTCACACTCAAGACTTGATTAGTAAATATAATCGTGAAAAAAAGGCTACTATTGATTCAGCAGCACTGATTCACCTCTTTAAGTAAAAGTTAAAAAAACAAAAACCCTACAATGGTACCTCTACTTACGAACGTCTCTTTATACGAAATTTTCAAGTTACGAAACGCCTCAACCGGAAAATATTGCCTCTTGATACGAAAGAAATTTCAAGATGCGAATGGTAAAAATACAGCATGGGCTGCTACTCGCAGCTCCGAACGCAACATACGTATAGCTGCTCTGCCATTGGCTATTACCTGGCAGCTTCCTGGCCTCCAATTGGCTAAGAGGGACTTCTACGTATTTGTCAATGGTGCAGATAGATTTGTGTCTATCTAGAGTCCTCGGCATTTTGGTTAACTTGGAAAAACAAAGAAAACAATTCTCTGTCCTCTTTTTATGAACCTTCATCTTGTTAGTCCCCCAAATATAAAATGGCTTTTATGCTCGCAAAATAACATGTTCTAATAGCTTTGCTAATGTTGAGAACTGACCGACAAAAAAAGGGAATGTTTTGTTTTGAGCCAAAGGCACAAGACACAACAAATTCTTCTTGCGTCTAACAACATCCAAAAAAATCAGATAGGGAATATCTTGCTTCTCTGAATCTGTTGTCATTGTGGTTATTTGTTGCTATTTGTCACGCATTCCTTCATGTTGCTCAGTGTAAAAAACAAAATATGTTGGGTGAACTCCAAATTTGAAGGCGACAAACTTGGATGAAATTTTCAGTTGGGTTTGGATAATGGATGGATCAATGAATATGAATAAATATTTTAAGCTTTGCCGTTGTGGAAATTCGCCTAACTGGATTTCACAACAAAGAAATACGTTTAGAAAACTACCGGTAACTGTCCCTTGGATTTGTTTTAAAAAAGAACAACTCAATTCAGCAAATGGTTTTGGAGCAAACAACTTGCTAGCTTTGTTGTGTTAATTAACATTGTTGCCATAAATGTTAAGAATTTGAATTTTAAAGTTGTTGCAACTTAAATGGCTGTTTGAGCCCCCCCCCCCCGAAAAGTGTTTTGTCCAGATTTTGTTTGACATTTCTATTTTTTTTTTTTTTAAATCTAATCAAGTACAGTAGCAAGTATTTGTTCTTGGTTACATCCCACCACTGCAGGCAACTAAAAAGCACAGGCAAGTCTTTTTTTTTTTGTCATCTCCAGTTGGCCTTCGTCATCATGGTGTGATTATAGTGAGAGAATGAAAGTGTTTGATGCAGAACATGTCCCGCGTTTTTCGGCTCAGCTGGAAACGTTAAATCAGACCTCCACAGGACAGTATTTTTTTTTATTTTGTTTTGTTTTGTCTTTTTTTAATTTTTAACAAGATGCCGCGTTTCCTGGCAGGTTCTCCTCGGAGCAAAAATGGAAATGAGGTCG